TCGGGGCGTCTCCTCCGATTGTTGTTTGATGGTCAGGAGATGAGCGAAATGCTTCTTCGCACGTTTCCTCCCGGCAAAGTGGGTGAGGAAGCGTTGAGCGAGGTCCTGCCATGAGTCGATGCTCCCCTCCGGAAGGTTGTTGAACCAATCGTACGCTGGTCCTTCCAAGGTGGAGAGGAACCAGCGACACATGTATTCTTCCGAAGCGTTTGTCATCATCATATTGTTCTGATAGCGGGTGAAGTGCTCCTGGGGATCAGTGCGGCCGTCATATGGCTTGATCGGATTCCCCTTATACTTCTCTGGGATGGGGGCGGAGAGCACCATGGCAGAGAAGGGGGTCATGGTCCGTATCTGGATGACGGGCTCATCGCGCCGGTCAGCCAACTCCCTTTCTAGAGCACTGACTTTGTGCAGGAGCGCATCGTAGTTGGGATGCTGGGATGTATGGGCCGCTGCGCGCCCTGCGGCCTCCCGGGCCTCCATATCAGCGAGGCGCTTCTCCAGGCGGGCGATGATCTCGTCGCTTGATTCGGGCCGCGTGGGCCAGGTTAATTTGGTGACGCGCATCGTCATCATTCAGCTTTCCCTTTCCCTTATCTGGTCGGGGCCGATCTGTTGTCCGGGAGACGGACCCGGAGCTTTCCTTTGGTGATCCTGGCTCACGGCCACCCAACCGATCCGCCACCCTTCCCGTAGGTACCCGACGGCTCGCGATGTCACCCAGCCTGTTGAGGGCTGAGATTTTACCGCGAGGTTGGGCCGGTGTATCCCGGGTAGGCGAGGCAGTATGGGAATGGGTGTCCACGGCGAGGACGTCCTTGTTGTCGCCGAAGAAGGTGACGCCTTGTGGACGAGGTGGCGGCGGTGGCACTGTCGCGACCTCCCCCGTTACAGGAGTGTTGTTTTCCCCGGTCTTTGCGACAAGAGCGCTGACGACGTTGGGGTCCTGGAGGATGCTTGCAACAATGGCCGATAATGCGGCCGGGTTGATCTGGGGAGCAGCAGGGTGAGAGGCCTGCTGGCCCGAAGTGCGATCAGCATTGCATCTGTCTTCGAGTCCGATGCGAGCATCCGGAGCAGTCCTGTTGAGCTGGGTGCGAAGGTCAGCCGTTGCGTGCTCGACCTCCTGAGCATTCTCATCCTGGATGATGAGGTCATTGGGGACGTTGTCAGCAACGTTTCCCTGCCCTTCCTGGTTCAGAGGGGCGTTCCTACCAGTGTTCTTTGACCTAGTTCTTGTCATAGCTAGCGGTAGTGTCGGGTAGCGACGAGGGGTACTCACTTGATCTGTTCTAAGCTCTCAACGAGAGCACCAAATGATAGAGTATTAATTCTAGAGAGAAGTGAGAGCTAGAGAGAGAAGGTAAGTAATTATATTTCTCAACCCCCTATAACTAGCCCCAAGGGGTCTATTTATAGGTAAAAATGTGGATTTGGGCCCCTAGCTATGGGCTTAGGAGGCCCATTACAATAATCATGCCTTCTTTGGGCGAAATAGGGCCACTAATGGGCTGTGTACAATACTTAGCAAATAAAGTAGAGAGATGCATTCTGCCAGGGCGAAGTCTGTCCGATGCGGTGCCTTTTGGCCGATGCGGTCTCATGGCCGATGCGGTCCATGGGCCGATGCGGCCCCCCGGGAGTCCAGGCGTGCTTCCTGGGCCGGTTCGGTTTCTGGCCGATGTGGACCCACTGGCTGAAGGGGGCCACGTGGGTGGTGTTCTGGTCATCGTTGACTTGAGTATGGGGGCCATGGGGTCCAGGCCCATATACTCTATCACCCGGTATTTTAAAAAATGCATACTCGTATTATCTAAGTCGTTGTTTTAAACTTTAATCTAATGTGGTAAATAGACTAAATAGTTTTTTAACTAATTTATCAATTTAGACATATAATTATCAAAGGTACAATTAATTTCCCAAATTAAATCATGAGTTTAAAAATTACAATCTTTCCCAAACTAAAATGGCAGAATGTGAGTAACTTAATAAAAATTAAATCACATGCATATTCAACAATATATTAACTACGGAGTATATCCGTAGTACACTCTTGCAACAAGGAAACAAATCAAAAGCAACACAGTAAGCTTTTAGCCAATTAGCCTTGTAAAAAGAAAACATGTATACTAATGGTATTGGTGTTTGTTGTGCTTGGTGGTGTAACGTTACCAATTTCATTAATGTAAAATATATACTCCATATATATATACTACGTATAATACAACGGGAAAAAGAAAAATGCATGCCCTAAAACATAATGATAATGATATAGAACAAGGTAAAAATTTTACATATTAATAATTTAACGGGTCAACGGTCTGGACCTGTTTTTTCCGGGTTTGACCCTGACCGAACCAGAACCCGGAATCATGAAAATCATAGGACCAAAACCCGGACCTGTTAATATCGGTCCGGTCCGGACCGGTCCATTCCGGTCCGGATCAGGTCCAAATTCCGGTCCGACCCGGTTAATGCACACCCCTACTCAAAATATCTTGCTAAAACAATTCTAAAATAACTTCTGAATAGATCTCAAAACAACTTTCCGAAAACTTTCTGAAAGAGATCTCATAAACTTTCTGTGAAATTTTCTTAAAGAAATCTCATTAACTCTATGTAAAACTTCCTGAAAGAAATCTTATTAACTTTGTGTAAAACACTTTGTGGCTAATTTTAACTGTGGGCTCGTGATATGTAATTAAAGATGCCAATCCAACAGCTCAGGGGAGCGACCCACTAAACATACTCTCTGAAACTGATAACTGTGGGAACTTGTTCCCGAGTACGTATCTAATAATCTTTCACTTTAAATATTAGTTCTTTTTCTAGTGACGTTTGGTTAAAACATCGTTAAAGTCTTAAAATAAAAGTACTGACATAATCACGACTATACATGATAATAAACATAACTCAGTACAACAAATAAAATAACTAATCAAATAATTCACCAAACTCACATAATAGCAAAGAGTCTAAAACTAAATGAGTGCAGGTAGTGAACTTACCTGTTAGAAGCTGGATTCAAAATAATCAAATAAGTGTGTCACCTTGATAACGTCTTCTGATAAGCTCTTATCTTTCTTAAATCTTTAATTAAATGATTTTATGAAATGAGAATCTGCCAAGTATGAAAAATTTGCATACTATCGAAGTTGAAATTGTCTACTGGACATGTCAAACTTAGAATTTAAATTATTTCTTGCTGCTACGAAGAATAGAAGAAAACAAATCTTAACACTTGAAAACACTATTTAAACTTGGAATCAATTTTAATAACTAACTTCAACAAAAATGTGTATAATTAGAACTCGGTGTTTTGAATGACATTGATCTCCTTAAAATAATCTTTTTCTGTTGCAGCGTTTTATCAGAACAAAGAAAGGAATATTTATATAAAACTAATCCATGTTACATAAAAAGAAATTCTGAATTTTGATTAACAAAACAACCACATTCAAACTTGTGCAACAACAGTATTGGGTTTCACAAAGAAGTACTAATAAACATAAACCTTTTCAATAACACTGTATTCAAGTACTTTAATACAAAAGGTATTATAATCGCAGGGGTTTCAAAGAATCTTTTCAATTTGGAGTTTGGGCTTGGGCACATAATGTCGTTAAACAAAATGCTTTTGTTCGAGTGTGTATACATGTTTATATGTGTAAGTACATTTCAAAAGCTTCAATAGACCTAGATTTATACATATGTAAATAGAATATGTATATATATTAAACTACAGTTCAATATAGTTGCAATAAACTAATTTTTTGTTGAAAGTGTACAGATAAATATCTGTATAAGTTGAAATACTAATATAACGGCATTTATTCAAAGCATAACTAAGTTTTTAAGAAGCTTTGTTTGAAAACTGTTTTGTTGTTTTTTAAAAAATTGGGAAACTAAGGGCCTGTTTACTAACAGAGATATTTTCCTGTTTTCTACTTCTGTTTTTCGTTTTCCAATTTTCTGTTTTTATTTTTCATTTTTTCTATCTCCAATTTTCTGTTTCTATTTTTTAGTTTTCCATTTTCAAATCTGAAAATATGTTCATCAATTTTTTCACCCAGTTCACCAATTCCACACCCTTGACCCCTACCCTTACCACGATCTTACACTCTACCCATACTCCCCCACAACCCTTCATACCCACCCATACCTACTCGTAGGGGTCGGGGTAGGGAAGGTATGGGTGGGGGTGGGGTAAGGGGTATGGTCGGGGTGGGGTGGTAAGGTATAGGGGTAGGGGGTTGGGTGGGGGTAGTGGGTGGGTTAGGGTTGTGGTTAGGGGTAAGGGTGGGGTAGTGGGTAGGGTTTGGGGTAAGGTAGAGGTAGGGTATGGAGTTGAGATAGGATGGCGGTAGGGTGGGGCCGGGATCAGGGTGGGGTCGAGATAGGGAAGGGGGTGGGGGTAGTGGGTAGGGTTGGGGTAAGGTAGGGGTAGTGGGATAGGGTGGCAGTAGGGTGGGCCCGAGATCTTGGTGGGCCCAAGATAGGGGAAGGGTAGGGTGGGGGTAGGATGACGGAAGGGTGGGGGTAAGATGGTGGTACGAGGGTGGGAGTAGGATGGCAGTACGAGGGTGGGGGTAGGATGGCGGTGGGGCGGGGCCGAGGTAGGGGCATGTGGTAAGGGGTACGGGGTAAACGCGTTTTTCTTTTTTTCCGTTTTAGAAAACGATTTGGTAAACGCGTTTTTCTTTTTTCCTTTCTCCAGTTTTCCAGGAAATTCTTTGGTAAACACGTTTGCTGTTTTCTGTTTTTCAGTTTTCCAATTTTCTGGAAAACTGGAGAATATCTCTGTTAGTAAACAGGCCCTAAGATTTGCAAAAGCTTCTTGCTACCACCAAGTCACCAACTGAAAGATGCTTGAAAAAAATTCTGATACCACCTTTAAGATGAGTTGATGTTCATGACCAACATATCACAGAATAGATAACAATTGGAAGCATGTATAATTAAATATCATAGAATAAGATACACATGTTACACGTAGGCATGATTAATCACAACATACATAGTCTGTGTTAAATCTAGAATTTCACAATTGTTTGCATTTAAAAAACAATAGGTTTATATCATTTTCACACGTTCATACTATTCATAGATTTATATATCCGTAAGTAAAAATATATAGGTTCAGTGAGGTAAACAAAACTGTTAAAGATGTTTCTTTATTGAAATAATACAAATTTAGTCTACTATATAAAACTGTTAAACATGCATGTTTATTACAAGTGGATGCTTTTAGGGAGTGTTTGCGATTACTTGTGCTTTTTAGAAGTGATTTTTTTAAGAGATTATTGGAAAAGTGATTTGTAGTAAAAGTTGGTAGTGTTTGAGAATGGAAGTGATTTTAATTAAAATGTAAAAGTTGGAGTGTTTGATAAAAAAATGGGTTTTGATGTGATATTTTATTAAATACAAAAATGCCCTTGCTATATCGATCTCTTCCGTTCAACCCACGTGAAGACCCAGCTGAGCCCGTCTTCTTCCAAGAACAAAAGATAGTAGAAGGTTTCTCGAAATTCTCTATGAATGATGATTATCATCTGGACACACATCAGATCGTTACCTTTTTCAAATCCTCAATTTCACAAAACGGGAACCATTGAGCAAGCTTTAGAAATAACTGTCTCCTCTGCTTTGTTTGATGCCGGTTTGGATGGAAGATGGGGCATGGCGGTGGGGTTCGTGGAAGAGAAGCAGTTGATGGCATGGGGTAGCAAGCTCCGACAGCAGTTGACGGTATGGGACAGCTTGTCCGGCAGCAACAGATGGAGGGACGAGGGGAGGGGTAGTTTGGGTTTGATGGATATGTTTAACCTAATAAATGTCCCTAAAGTTTTGATTATTTACAACAATACCAAGAAGTAGATAAAAGCACCAACATACATGCTTTTAACTTTTGGCTTAAAAGTACTTTAAATTAAGCTAAAAGTTGGAGTTGCAAACACCTTTTTTAGCTTATTCCATTAGAAAAGTTGAAAAGCACTTCTTAGAAGTGTTTGCAAACACACCCTTAATATAGCTATGCTTTGAGGACCAGCCAAGTAGTTCTGTTTTTAAGATTCTGGATCAAGTAGAATGTGTGACATAGGTATTGGATATCTCGTTTTCAAGATATATGTGTCACTTATGCATTCATATTTACTCTTCTGACCATATTTGTCAAATTTTGAGTATCTATCTATGTTAATAAAAACAAATAAACATCTTAAACATCAACAGAACAATACTACGGAAAGATAGATCCAGAAATCTTTGATTTTTTGGTTGTTTCTAAATAATACTCCATATCGGACAAACCTGATAAGCTTTTTCACATCTTAGCTTCTGCTTTTCAAAAAAAAAAACATTTATGTCAAACCGACAGATTTTAGCACACAAAAAAAAAACATGTTCCCCTAGCACGGTAAGTATCAAATAACTAACAGAGAGATAATGAAAAACCATTTTTGAAAAAACCAAGGTCATATATAGTTTAAATTAAAAAAATATATAGCCAAAATACAGTTCGAAGTATACCCATAATAGATCGGTAAGGTCAGCAGGCGCTCAAATACGCTGGCGCACATCTACGCCCTCCACGAAGAACCAGTGACTCAGATTCTTCGACATTTAAATGTTAAAGAACATTGGGTTACCGATTACTCTACTCTTTGGAAACGTGAACCAAGTTGGGATGAGAGCATCGGAGTCACCCTTAGCTCTCTGGTGTACGAAGTTAGGAAGGTAGAAGATTGGTGGTGGGCGGAGTTTGGGCTTACGCTTAGAGGCGGAGAGCATCGGATTAAATGAAGGTGATGTACGGATGAAGGGTAATTGGGTTTTGGCCTGGTTTTTGAAGGGTGTAATTTGAGTTTGCACCACATATTAATGTCTAAATTGGATTTTGTATCTCATTTTAAAAAATACTACACTTTTGCACCCAACCTCATATGAAAAGACAAAAGCGCCCCCCATTAACAATTTTTTGACGTTCAACATATTCTTGATTGAAGACATATTCCTGGTTAAGTTGCAAAAACAAAGATTTCTAGAAACGGGGTGCAAATCCAATTTAGACAATAATATGAGGTGCAAACTCAAATTACCATAGAAGATTGCAAAGAGCAGAGGGTTTTAATATATTGCATCTTTTTTTGTCAGTACTCCTCCATCCCAAAAAGATTGGCCAAATTGATTTTCGTTCTCTCTTTAGGCACCCCAAAAACTGCTTTGCGCGTCCAATTTTGTGTATGCGCGGACACTTGTACCCTTTTGACATGCTAGATTATTTACAACACACACGTCAGAGATTGTTTGGCGCACCCAACACTATAAGGCTAACCGCAACCCTGCTCCGTCAATAAATCAAATTTCCCCCCACTTTATATGTATTCACTCAGTCAATTCAATTTTCACTACTATCCAGCCCCGTCAATATATTCAATCATCAAATTTATCGTGAATTGAAACCTTGCTTTTATTATTATACATCATTTTTTCTCAATACTTTTTTGTGAATAATTATTGATTTTTAAAGTCAGCCATTTCAATGTAAAAATAAATAAATTTGGATTTTATTTTATTTTTTTTATTTATACCTATTTTTGTTAAAAATAACTCAAAGATGTAAAAAATTATTGTAATCATGAGGTCTTAATTTTAGAATTGTGATGTCCAAAAAAAATTTTGATCATAAATATCTCAAACTGATGAAATGTACATATTTTTATTTTTAAAACTTTATATATATAATATTGGTGTCATTTGAAAGATCATAAAAAATAAAAAAATTTGACATATTTTCTCTAAAAAATGGTTTAAAAGTAAAAAAGTTATAATAGATTAAATAAATTTGGGATTATATAATTTTATTAGCATCACTCATTTGTGAAATGCCATGACAACAAAAGGCAAAAGGTGTTGCAGCAGTTTTCTCTCTCCGTGAATTGAGGCGTCCAAATTCCCCCCTCCACCGGTACTATCTAACCACTTTAGCACGAACAAATACCTGGGTTGGAGTATATTTGAGGGTCAATATCATAAAATTGGCTTTTCACCCATAGGGTTGCATGCAGCCTAAGTATTCATAAAATACTGAAATACGGATTAATTTTATAAGATTTTAGCAATCACGTTATAGGAATCTAGAAATTTGTTAAAAACAGTGTCATTCATTTTCACACCTGCAAGGCTACAAGGTACTTGATAATTCACACCTGATACCCACCCAACGGCTATATAGCCGTTTGGGAAGTGGGTCAACAGCCAAAAGGGCTTTTACAAAAGAAATGAAAAAATAAAATAAAAAAATCAGGCAGTTAGGCCCGGACCCGGGCCCGACCGGACGGGCCGCCAAAAACTAGCCCCGAGCCCGGACCCCCCCCCCCCCTCCTCGGTTCGGGCACCGAACCAGACCCGGACCCGAGAACCGGGTCGGTTCCGGGCCGGTCCACGGGCCGGGCGGCCCGAACCGGGTCCAAGACTAGAATCATCCCCTATCCTCCTATATCTAAAAGCAAAATGTTTTTAGGAATTGTGTTCCTGCCCAAACTCCCAAAAGGGTAAAATAGTGCACATGAAAATAAAAGAAAGATAAACAGTAAAAGGTAAAGTAAAAAAATATACCGAGTAAGATGTGAGTGTTTGCCTGTTGGGGCATGCGCAATCCACTGATCCAGTAGCATGCGTGTCTTGGGGCATGTGTACATAACAATGATGACATCTCGTAGTAGAAAAGTGCGTCCAAGACTTGCACAGGAAATCATAAAAGAGACTTTCACAATACGCTACTATTGAATAAAGTTACACTGTAAACTTTCATGACACAGCAAAAAGAAAGCCTTAATTAGCGGCAAAAAAGATAGAGAAAAGGGGTAAATAAGGTCATGTACTAACCAAAAAGGGTCAAATAAGACCTTATTTAGGAGGCTCTGTCCGGCCGTCGCCATTTGGGGTGGTTTCCGGTGGAATTTTTGGATAAAATTTTTTGAGCATCTTATTCATTAAGTCTAGTTTACTCATACCAAATTTCAGCTACCAATTCAATCGGGAAGGCATTCAAATGAATCCTTGAATATAATTGTGCAATTAAAAGGGCAGTTATCTTCAAGAATTCATTTGAATGCATTCCCGATTGAATTGTTAACTGAAATTTGGTATGAGTAAACTAGACTTAATGAATAAGATTCAAAAAAAATTATCAAGAAATTCCACCACGAAACACCCCAAATGGCAACGGCCGGACAGAGCCTCTTAAATAAGACCTTATTTGACCTTTTTTGGTTAGTACGTGACTTTATTTGTCCCTTTTCCCAAAGATATAGCATGAATTCTGTGCAAATAGAAAGATAGCCCAAATTCCTGTGCAAAACTTGTTGGGTGTGTTTCGGAAAATAAAGAAAATTAATTAAAATTAATTAATTAAATAAAATGACAAGAGAAAAACAAGAAAGGAGATGAAGCAGAATTAGTCAAAGATCGTGCTACGCACGATTTCCTTAAAACGTATTTGTTGCCTCCCACGGTGCTAGGAGCGTTGCAACAATCGTTTCCCAGGATACGATGACTACGAACTAATGTTTGAGCACACAAACAAAAGTTCCAGCGAACGAGAACACCGTATGAACACAGATGAATTTTTCAGAATGCTAGCAGTGTGTTTTTAGGGGAGCAAAAGGTGCTTGGAGTGTATGAATTCGTGTGTTGTTGCAAACCACCTGCCAGCCATTATATAGGAGGATTTGTTGTGTGTAAATGGTGAATTAATGGACCTGAACGTTGGACATCAATGACCAGTCCATTGGGCATTGAATCGTCCATGAGCTGTCCATTTAACGCTGCATTAAAAGATAAGAACGTTGGGCATTAATTGTTGTAACGTTTCAGAAGCGCGACAGAAGACCTCCACCAGAACACCCCGGGAGGGGTTCTGATCGGAGGCCAATCAGAAGACCCCTAGAGGGGTTCTGATCGGAGGCCAATCAGAAGACCCCTAGAGGGGTTCTGATCAGAGGCCAATCAGAAGACCCCTAGAGGGGTTCTGATCGGAGGCCAATCAGAAGACCCCTAGAGGGGTTCTGTCATCAGAAGACCCCTGAGGGCTTCTGTCACGAGGCCACCAGAACACCAACAAGGTGTTCTGTTCCGTAGACATCTGTCCGAGCACTTCTGCCGCTGGGAAAAAATTAAACGTTTCGGGAAGAAAGCAAAAATTAATCGTATCTCTTGAGAGATAGATTTTTGGACGACATTCGTGTCCGCAGGTCGCCCGCGCACGCAAGTCGCGGTTTTTCTTCTCCGATTTCGGGATTTGATTTCTCATTCACCCGTTATCCGTTTTGAGCGTACCATATATCGAATTGTAGCCCTTAACAAGGACAATCCGAAACCACTTTGACCCGACCCAAATCGGAAGTGGATCCCACTCAAAAAATTGCCCCAAAATAGCCATTTAATGCAATTTTTCACACATTTTTCCAACAATCCCCCACATGAATGAAAATTGATTTTCGAGACTTAAAAAGACACGAAGATAGGAGGACACGTTGTGTTCACCGGATGATCCTTGCATACGGAGAGGTAGGTTTAATCCTTTGAACCTTCCGATGTAAAGACTCGTTTATTTACTGGCTGTCTAGTAGACTCGATGTCTTTGAACTATACTGCCGTCGTGTAAACATTGACTTATATTTACACAAGAACCTTCAAACTTTGTTCCGTTCTCATGGGTGTGCCCGTTTTGGCCATGGGTCACCGTCCTGGTTCTGCAAGAGTTTCTAAAGAACTGAGCCTTTACAGTTCTCCTTTGAAGCGGCCCTCTTCTCTCTCACATAGGTGATTCTTTCACGAGTATCCCGCATACTCTTCCAATGTTATCGAGTAGATCAACATTTTAGAATCATTAAAGCAAACGTTTTTGCTAACCTCGTGCGGGAGTCACTGTTTCAACGAGGAGTGGCTAGGAGTCCGGGACCCCCACAGTGACCATCTTTCGCTCTATAATTTAGTTGTCTCATTTGAACCTAGGACCAACTAGGTTGGGTATCCACTAAAGAACTTTTCAACTCACGGGCTTTAGTCCCATTCCTCGTGACAACTTCTCCAACAATTCTCTATCCAATGCCTTGGTCAGCGGATCCGCTATGTTATCCTTTGACTTTACGTAGTCAACAGTGATAACACCCGTTGTGAGGAGTTGTTTAATGGTGTTGTGTCTACGACGAACGTGTCTAGACTTACCATTGTAGAGATTGCTCTGTGCCCTTCCAATTGTCGCCTGACAATCGCAATGTATGCATATTGGAGGGACAGGCTTCTCCCAACTTGGAATTTTTTTTTACCCCGGAAGGCAAACCACCAAAATCAGTGGGGTAAATGCCGGGGAGCATTTACCAGGTATTATTAATTAAGTGGCAGAAAAACAAAGGGTGAGGGGGGCTATACCAAAACCCCACCCAAGAAGGCAAACCTTCTTAAGATACAATCAATTATGAATTTAGGAAAAAATTGGGGGGACCAAACCTGACCCAATTAAGTAACAGAAAAAAAAACCGATTAAGTAACTCTAATATAACTCAAACCAAGCTTATCAGCAATTAAAGAGAGCCTAATATGTCCTGGAACCTGTCTGATGTTGGAAAATAGTATCGGTTCTCTAGATTCGATTTTTGACAAGAAATGCGCTGGCCAGTTTGTCTCCCGTAGAACATGTCTGAAAACAATACCAACTCCACCACTCCATTTCCTCAGGTCGTCAGTCATCTGCTTCCCCCTTCCTTCCAGAATCCCATCGCGTATAGCTCCATAAACCAGGTTAGAATCCATTTCCACCTCAAAATCATGATATCCTTTGCCAACCATCCAAGAGACCGAATGATAAACCGCTTTAAGTTCCGCTTCCATTGTCGAAGCTGCAGCCAAAGGAAAATGAAGAGCCGCTACAAACTCACATATCCTGGATCGAAGCACAGCTCCTCCTGCCGCCCCATCTGTAGTGAAAGCCGCGTCAACGTTCAATTTGTACTCTAGCGAAGGTAAGATCCATTTTACAACCTGGAGCTTCAGTCTCTTAGATTTGAAGAATAGCGGCATTAAATTCTCATCTAGAAGAATCTGATTAGGTTTTCCAAGTTTGAGATGAGACAGTTTAGCATCAGACCATATCTGTGTGAAGGATTTAATTTGAAGAATAACTGATTTGGGACTGGTAATTTCATTCGCATCTCCCCAAATAAACCTGCAATATTGTTTCCAAATATGCCAAGCAATAATCCCAGCCATATTATGCTTAAACACATCCAAGAATGTTTTAGAACCCGCTTCGAGC